GGGGAAGACAATACAGTGTAGGTGGTCCTTGTAAGTACAGGGACCCCTCGCAGTGCAACTCCCACTGCCCAGCAGTGACATCTTTGACGATAGGAGTCTTCTTCTTGCCAGCACTTGGGGCAAGTATGAAGATCCCGGATATTATATTCTTGTTGGTCTTAGCCCCCTGCCTGCCACCCCTTATTGACACAAGACACATTTCGGATGTTTGTCTATCATGGTGTGTATTTTTAGTAAAGAAGAAAGTCAAGTAACTATTGTTTTTTTCTTTTCGTAAACTCCAAGTCGCGTCCAGTTGATGTTCTCAAGTATCATATCAATTCGTCGGCCAAAATTGCCATTCTATCTTATTCGTTCCTTGCCCAAAATCCATACCTATTTGTCCCCCTTTTTGAAACCACAGTTTTTTTATCCTTCATTTTCCGAGATGGCCTCCTTATTGGCGGTTCTCAATTGTTCCTGACATCGTCGAGGTCGACCCTCATGCCCAAGATGCCGGGCAGGGGCCGCTTCCGGCTCGATTAACCTTCAGCAAAGGCCTCGAGCTTGGCCTGAATCTTACTGTCTGAGGCATCCTTGGCAGGACGGTTGGCGATCAAACGCTAAACAATGGTTTTAGTAATCAGCTACAACCAGGTTACGAATACCAGGTAACTTACCACAAGGTTCCTGAGCAGGATAGCGATGGTGACCTTGCCAACAGAAGGCACGTAGATGGAGGCCTTCTCCTTGACGGCGGGCCCATCGAAGTTCCGGTGCGAAGCGAAGTTGATGCACACAGCACCCTCTCGGATGAGCTCGGTGGGCACCTTGTACGACTCGACTGGCACACCAGCGATGATGACGTCGCTCAGAGGCAGGACCTGCTCCAGGCCCCAGCCCTCCTTGTCCTCGACCTTGTGACGGGGCTGCTTGATACCCTGACCTCTGGTAAAGAGCTGAACACCCGTGACGTCGACCGAGTAGACGGTTGCTCCGTCGTTGGCGAGGAGGGCAGCGAGCGGGCGGCCGTTGACCTCGGAGCGGTTGATGACGGTGATGGTCTTGCCGTAAAGACGGTTTCCAACGGCCAGGATAGGGTTGTAGATCTGGAGATACTCAAGAATCTTGACACAGGCCAGAGGGGTGCATGGCAGGATAGACTTCTTGCGGTTCTCGGGGGGATCCAAGAACCGGATGTTGTGATACATGTTGTGCAAGTGCTGGAACCGCATGCCCTCGACGTCCTTGCTGAGGCTCACAGTCTCCTGCACGTACTTATCGTGGGTGGGGTTCTTGGGGAAGATGGGATAGTAGACGATGATGCCGTCTACGCCTTCTTCTTCGTTTGCCTTCATGATCTCCTCCTCGAGGAGTTCCTTGTCTACGTTTCGAAGGTCAAACTTGAATCCACTGCAGGCAGATAGTGGTAAGTGCGTGCCCTACACGGGACCAAAGAAGAAGTTTTGGATGCACTCTGCTCATGCACTCACTTGTCCTCGCATGTCTTCTTGGACCACTCCGCATACTTGACAGCGTGAGGGTCGCCATTGGCCAGGAAGGCAGCGAGCGTGGGCTCCCCGCTGCCAGACTCCTGGATCGTGGCCAGAGTCTCTCTGACCTCTTGCAGGAGATTCTTGGCGATGGTCTCTGCGGTGATGACCCTGCAGGTCTTGGGAACCTCAGCGGAAGCCATGGCGATGTATATATGATCCTTGGCCTGCCTAGCGTCAGCGACACCGCCGAATCACCAAAGTGCCGTCTCCAGACCGCGTCTGTCTCGGGACGCCTCCCGACTCACTCACCTGCAAAGGGACTGATGCTATAGAGAGACCCCACTACCGACGATGCAATTGTAGGGGTGTGGTGAAAGCTACCCGCACCGCGCTTGGAGGGGTCAAATGCTGGACAGAGAATCTAAGCGTCCTGTAATATGAACGAGAGAAAAACAGGTCAAGTCCTGAGCTTCTTCAAGGCGAAAGAAAAAAAACGGGGTGGAGTATGAGTCAAAAATGAATCCTACTCCTCTTTCCGATTATTTTTTTGCACTTAGGTCATTCCCTGCTTCCAGTATGGCCCTCACTCCAAACTCGTTGTGTTACCGTTGTATGGATGGCAAGGAAAAAAATTCATTGGATCGATACCACATTCTTGTCCGGTTAAAGTTTAGCCTGCGATAATATGAAGGGACATGGAAATTCAGCGATTGGCTGCCGGCACATAGACACATGTTTTTCTAGGCCGCTGAAATTACCTGCAGTAACGGCTGTCACAACTACTAGAAACTTTAGATGCCAGTGTAGCCAGTCAATTGAATTAAAGGAAATCCGGAAAACATATTGTTCATACAAGCAGGTAGATGCCGATGCTGAGCAAAATGTGCAGATGTGGAGCATCTGAATAGCCGCTTAAGCTGCTGGCCCACTTTAGATCTGACCAGAAACCAGGGCGAGAACTCTAGACAACGGCGCGGTCATTTCTAAAACACTGACAGCGGATACTCAAACAGAAACTGTAAATTGAGTCAAGACATGCTGCCGCTGTGAGACGTCCGCCAGGATGGGAACGACCAGCCACAACTCCTTTGATATTGGAAAAGCCCTGGCCTACCCGAGACTTGTCAACCAACCTGTGGTATTTGCTTCGAGCAAGGAGTCTATCCACGGCTGCCCGTACCTCTCGAACTGTGTGATGGTCGAATGCCCTCCGTAATAGATGGCACTTAAATCAATAATCATATTTGGTTGCAAGAAACCACCCACGGCATCCTATGTTACATGGTTAAATTTAGGCTAGACATCCCTGAAGTCTACCATCTACTAAAATGACTATGCAACTGCCACGATCATACATCCTCAGGCTGAGCTGATATACCCTGTATGGTTTGTTTTCACACGGCTGCGACGAAAATGTCTGCAGGACGGTAAGTAGCCATGGCCCGAAACCTCCGAAGCAGTACCAGGCACTCCATCGTTAGAACATTTTGCGATCATCACATCATTGATGTTCAAGCCTCGAGGCTCTCTGAACGTTGTGAAGGCATCGGCTAGGACATAGCGGATTCCAGGGCTTAGTGTATGCTTCGGACTATGACTGACTTTGCTATTCTTCGACATACACCTTACTTACTGGAAGTCCCTGCCTCCAGGGATATCGCTTACTTGTAGACAGTTATCGAGGAACGTTTTTGTGGTCTCGAGGGGAGCGCGCATTAGTCGAGCTGCCCAAATTGGCATCCCAGACCACACTCAACTGAGCGACGTTGGGACTGATACACTCAAACATTATTCTGATTATTGTCGACTCTATGATCAGTATTGCTATATTATTGAGCGCTAAGAACAATAAGAGCCAATACACCGTCGGTTATCATTCTATATTGCTGCATTAACCTACTTATTGCAGAAAGTGCTCTGCGCATAGCTGCTCTTCAATTTGAAGGACAGTATCCGAAGCCGGGTAACGTTTCAGTAAGAGGAGAACTATTTACAGCACGAAACGACGATTCCATTGCCCACGGTCCGGATTCACGATTCTCCCAGCTGTCCCTAGTGAGTCAATGGGACGATGCATATTACTAAAGGACATACATACCACACCTCACAGGACAGTCTTACGCATGAGCGGTCTGGTGGAACCTGGACCGCAGCAGCAAGATCCCCTTTCTGCATGCACGCTCCCTGTCATCATGCAGACATGTCCCGCGTCACAGCAAGCCTCGATCAATCAGAGCAGCGCGGCTTATGCCGCTCGCTCGCCCAGGCACCTTTTTGCCCGGCGGCATGCACCGCATCCCAGCTCAAACGCGCCTGGCATGATCCTTCGCCCATGTCCGGCAATGTGATACAAGCAAGACCCGCGCGCGCGCAGTCCATTTAGCCCGAGCTGCAGGTTACTCAGCGCTTGGGAAACCAGCACGCTTGGACCGCCGTGCGAGAGCAAAGAAGCAATTAACGCGCGGGCACGCGTACCAGCGCAGGCCTCGCTTCGTGTACGCACCACCCCGCCACAGAGACGACTATCGAATGCCTGGGCAACAACTAACGAGCCAGCCGCAAAGCCCTCAGAAATGCGTTCCAGCCTCACCCTAGCAACGCCCCACACCTGGTCTCCCATCCCTCTGCCGTCCCGGACGGACGCAGAGACCGAAGAGGCTGTCGCAAAGCAAGACAAGCCGGTCGGAAAGGCAAGACAGTCTCTCCATGAAACGACAATGGCGCGGGCGGCCGCAGCGAGACATGCCGGTCGGGGATGACGCCCATGTCTCCGTTGTTGGTATGTTTAGAAACGGAGGCACAGAGGTCTGATCGTCATGCAGATTCGTGCTGCGTCATGTCGCATATCTGAGACAGGAAAAGAAAAAGGTCGCTGAGGTGACGACACCATTTGACCATGTACTTTCGTTCCTGGATGATCAAACAGACATATGCTCTTTCGCCACGGTTAATTTCAATTTTTTTCATGCCAATACCATCACACACATGCACTGACAAGGTGCCAAAAAGCCTGGGACGAGGCGGGGCGTGAGGCAAATGATCATGCAAGGAATGATTTCAAGGATCCGGATTATAGAGTCAAGGTTCCCTAGTCGCACATCAAACAATCTACGTCGTATGACAGAAAAAGCTCCATCCAGATCTAGACAGTGGGAGTTCTCACAGTGAGGCATTCACATGCGATGTTGGAACGAACCTTGTTTTTATATATATTTTTATTATCATTGAGATATTATAGTCATTAGAAAAACGGCAATGAACCAGACATGTCATAAGAAAAAATACGTATCATGATCACCAAGCCCAGAATAAAAGATCATATCAAACGGCGTATCCTATTGATGTGGCGGATGTTTCGAGAACGAAGTAAGCGCCACAAAGGCCCAGCGTATTGACATCCAAGAAAGAGATTCCAACCTCACTCCATTTCCAACGAAAACTATGTGCAATTAGAGACGACGTAACGCCTTCATATGCGAAGAAACGACCAAGATATGAAACCTAGCAAATCCGAACTGCAACTTCTTACAGAAGGAGAGCAGCGGCAACACCACCGAAGACGGCGACGATACCGGCACCAACGTGAGGAGCGGCGGCAGTGGGGATAGGGGCGGAAGAGCCAGTGGGGACGCTGCCCTTGGTGGTGGTGGGGAGAGCACCAGTGGGCTTGTAGGTAGGAACAACAGTGGAGTTGGAGATCTTGGTGGTCCAGCTAGCAGTGCCGTTGCCAGCAGCAGCGGAAGAGGTGACAGCATCAGGAGGGCAAGAGGTCAGGGTGACGGTCTTGACGCCGGAGGCAGTGACAACGGGGACGGAAGCAGAGGCAGTGACAGAGGCGACGGCAGAGGAGGAGACACCGGCAGCAGCCTTGATGGCGAAGCGCTGGGAGTACTGGAAGATGGAGGTGTCAGCCTCCCACCTGAAGACCAGACCGTAGGCGGCCTTGTCACCGAGAGCGGCATCGACGTTCCAGGTGTAAGACAGAGCAGAGTTCTGGACACCGGCTGGAAAGATTGTTAGCTATTTGTCTGAACAACTTCAACATAGGACAGTTACATACTGGCGATGGTGCCAATGGGGACGAGGGTGTTGGCATCAGCACCACCGATCAGGGAGATGCTGATGGTACCGGACTGGTACTTGGCGGGAGCGGACCAGGTGATCTTGAAGGGCTGGCCGGCCGGGACGACGGTACCCTCAAGAGGAGCGTAGATGGGGTCGAAGTCGGCAGTCTGCGCAAAAGCAGAGGCAGCGAAGGCCAGGACGGCAGCGGCGGCGGAGAAGAAACGCATTTTGATTGATTTAATGGGGTAAATCGGGTGTTTGTCTGTGAGATTGACCGGGGCGGTTGTCGAAACGACAGAGAGTGATTTGAGATTATATTAAAAGAATGTGGTAGGCAGAAGCCAGGTGCAAAGAGCGACTATTAGACAACCGGTTGGTATGTTCGTTGACGGTGAGGAAAAGAGAAAGAAAGTCAGAACAAAAAGTGCGGAGGACGGCTCCTAAAAAGTGTCTCAGTCGTCACGTTGGAATGTCGAGGAGGCCGCGCTGAGGCTGGGGGCCCCACCCAAAGATGCCGCATGCTTGGGAGGACTTGGGAGGAGAGAGGGGCGAGCGAGATGAGCTGACCCAAGCGGGTCGCCGAATTGTCCACTGGGCCTGCTCTGTGGACCCGCTTGGCAGGGGCAATCAATTAACTCGTCTGTACTAATTTGCAGGGGTCAGGCACAGAGCGGTATCGAGGCCCGAAATTGGCCCTCAACACCTACCAGGGATGCCAGCACCAGGTCCTTCGCCCACAGTACGTACCCGGTTTGACGGCATCGGCCTCCAATAGCACCTCAGCCTGGTTGTAGGGCCAATCTGCAAGCAGGCAAGTGTCATGTCGACAAATGGCCCTAGCTGGGCGCTGGACCAGGCCGCCGGCCCATCACATCCTCCGCCATTGTCGAGATGAGATGGAGCTGCTTAATTAGGGGGCTTCATAATTCGCCCCTGGATCGTGCCAAGTAGCTCTATTATGATTATGCTCTCGTACAGCGAGATTGGAGCTAGCTAGCAGCCGGCATGGCTCCAGTTGCGCGCCGGCGTGGTGATGAACGAGCAGTCCACAGCGCTTGCCTCGCTGCTACACAGCACAGCTCTGCAGCCCCTCACCTCCCTCTTAGGGCATGGATCGCCAGGAACGTTTGCCAGAATCGGCGTGGGCGCCCCTCGGTTCTAGTTCTCTGCCCTGGCACATGCATGCCCTCGCACACCTCCCATTCGACAGAGAGCTCCTGGTGGATAACCGCTGGTGTGCTACTGCATATAGAGTCGCTGTACCTACATTAGTTGCTAGGCTCCGCCGGTGCCTGACATGTGAGGACCGTGATTGGCCACACCCACAGTCCAATGTCAGCAGCATCGACCAGGCTCAGCGTATTAGGGCGAAGACAGCATCAATCTTTCGCTGGGTTTAATTAGATCTCTGCCTGGCTTTCCACCATTTCACAGGGATGGGATAGCAGGCTCTTACCATGGCTTGGTCATTGCGGTGAGGTAGCGTCGGCGACACCCCTCTTGTTTGCCATTCTATTTTTTACCGCTCGGTCATTCCAGTGCATAACGACTTGGTACCGTCATTTGCGCCTGTTATCTTAATCCCTCCCGCTAGACAGGTCGGTCTGCCTTAGCGATGGCAACATGCTACTCATGACAACATGGTCGGCGATCATGGTCTTACCAGGGCCGAGTCTTCAGATGGCTGTTGATCCGAAGCGATGACCCACGGCTGATTCCATCATCTCAAAGGGGGGATCAATCATGGCGACACGGTGACTGGCATGTTGGCTACCTAGTTCCATTATAGTGTCGCTAGAGAGCTTTTGGTTTGATTGTCACCAGCAACAACTCCATCCAATCCTCGCACGACATGCTGTATTGCATGACGTGACATGTTCCAACACATGCCAGATAATGATCCTTAGAGGCTTAGATGTCAAATGATGCACGCCAATGTGGCTTTGCTTCAATGGTTCTAAGACACCGGGCGCCTCTGTCCTTCACTGGCCAGTCAGCCCTACCCCATCTCTCGCGATGTCCGTCTGATGGTTGGAGGCCCCTGCTCACAGTCGTGTGATGTTATGCAATCCTCAACGGCCTAACATGGTTCGGATAGGCAGGTTGCCGCTTATTTCCCTTTGTCGCCACTTTCCAAAAGGAGGATCCATGTGCCACACAGCAATCCTGCACCCTGGCAAGCCTCGTTCAACGAGTTGGCTGCCAGAAGGGAAAGAAATTTCTCACTCGCCTCCGCTGGCCAGTAAGGACCGATGGCCGATCCTACTGGTCCCTCTACGAGGACAGGGTGACATCGCAGGAGCCCACCGCCGACAAATCAGATTCTGGGGTTTCTAACCGACGTGATCCTGATGATCTTCGAGCCAGATACAAAGATCCAACATAGCTGACATCTTGGAAACGCTGCTAATGCACGGCTGTGTCCCTGATTAATAGGCTTTCTGTCCTGATAGGGCAACGGTACGCATGCCGAAGCCTATCACCCCGTTTCTCATATTACAAGGAGATTTATTTTATTTCATTTTCATCCCACTCACTCGCCATCGTACGCCACGGCCGCCACCTGGATCCGGGCATCCATGTCTAGAGCGCCATGCGTATCCATTTCACCTTGTTTGCTCAAAGTCTCGGTGAAGAAGCGTGGAGTGCCCAGTTCCCCCCATTCCATCCGAACCTTGTCCACCCACTTGACCAGGATATGTCTCTCGACCATGGCGACCGCGCGTAATATTATGTCTCATGCCATAGGTCCCAGGACATACAGCGTAAAAGATCCCACCGAAAGAGACAAAAGTCCACATAATACATATCAACCACGTCAGATGTCGGATGCTACGTTGCCCTCCAATGTTGTGTATGCGTAGCTGGCACCCAATATATTGCCTGAAGCCAAGCCTTGACGGCCTGCACAGTGGACCGGCTAGCTAGCTTACTTTGACGAGATCTAGACTGCGGAAGAGTTAACTTTGAAACAATGACAAACGGGCGAGGAATCTGGACCGCTCATCTTCAAGTCTTTGCTCGACGCTATTGGCCGTGTACATGCTTCCCATGCCGCGTGCCACAGCTTCCACCAATCAACATGCTCAGCCTTAGCTTCAGCTGGACCCACTCTAGAATTCTCATCTAGAACTCATGAACTGCTTCAATCAGTCGCGTCGCGGGGGCATTGCCATCCAGCTTGAACCGGCACCATGACCCCTGGTTCTGAGTCTCGCGATGCAACTCCACCATTGAAGCGTCGTAGAACAGACAGCGAGTCACCCCGATCATCCAAACCCCAAGCGACGTCCGCGCCCGAAGATGACAATGCTCGCTCCCACCCGACGGACGGCCCAGACGACCGCGGACGCAGCCAGGATCCGGGTCGCAGATCACGCGATCTGAGCGGCTCGAGGGGAAGATACTCGTCGCGGTCTCGCTCAAGGCGAGGCGACTATTCCAGGCGCAGCTCCAGGTCGCGGTCACAGTCTGGCTTCCCGTCACGGTCGAGGTCGCGGTTTGACTCTCGCTCGCGCTCACGATCCCGCTCAGGCAGCCCGAGGAGCAGACGCGATGCATCACGCTCGCGCTCCCAGAGCTCGGATCGCACACGCTCTGAGTATTCGATCCCGCAGGCCTCACAGACCCCTCTCCCCGACAAAACAAGACCAAACTACAAGCCGAAGCTGGTCCTCCATGGACACACCAAGCCTGTATCCCAGGTCCGGATTTCGCCAAACGGCAGCTTTATAGCATCGGCATCAGCGGATGGCACCATTCGTATATGGGACGCCGCCACGGGGGTTCATATGGATACGCTTGTCGGGCACATGGCTGGCGTTAGCTGCATTGCCTGGAGCCCTGATAGTAACACCATTGCAAGCGGCTCCGACGACAAGGCCATCCGGTTGTGGGATCGAGTTACGGGTAGGCCGAAGACCACGGCACGCAAGTCGGCGACTGGTAACGAGATGGCTCCTCTCCGTGGCCACCACAACTACATCCATTGCCTTGCTTTCTCGCCCAAGGGAAATATTCTGGCCAGCGGATCCTACGACGAGGCAGTGTTCCTATGGGATGTTCGAGCCGGGAGGCTGATGAGAAGTCTGCCTGCTCATAGTGACCCGGTCAGCGGCATTGACTTTTGCCCGGACGGCACCCTCGTCGTGAGCTGTTCTACGGATGGATTGATGTAAGTTATAACATGGCGGTCTCCTATACACAGCGTACAGCAGCTGCTGTCTGAAGATCTTACACATGATATTAACCTTTCGAGTAGTCGAGTATGGGATACATCCACGGGACAATGTCTACGAACGCTAGTCCACGAAGACAACCCGGCCGTAACGCACGTATGCTTCTCACCAAATGGCCGGTTCGTGCTCGCCTTCAACCTGGATAACTGCATTCGACTCTGGGACTACGTGGCGGGTAATGTGAAGAAGACGTACCAAGGTCACAAGAACGAAAAATTCGCCATTGGAGGTTGCTTTGCCGTCTTGGATGACGTCCCCTTTATTGCTTCGGCCAGCGAAGACGGTGGAATCGTCCTCTGGGACGTGAAGAATAAGGAGGTCCTCCAGCAGATCCCAAAACAGCACAAGGGCGTATGTTTCTGGGTGGACGTTCACGGCGACATCATGGCCAGCGCAGGTCAAGACCATTCAGTACGAGTGTACCGGCACGTCCGGAAAAACGGTGGATTGGTTACGGATGGCGATGCTGAGAATCAAAAGCCCAGCGGGGCAGAGACCGGAGGAGAGACTACGTTGCCTATCAGGCAGGAAGATGTCAAGATGGAGGATGCATAATGTCCGACGGCACCACCCAGTGGGTTTGCCAATTAGCACCTAATGACGCAACGATGAATGAAAGACCAAAATGACTTCTCAAATTCGAAACTTCCATCTCATTGCATTAATTTAACGCAGGAACCAAGATTACCTTACTTTCATTAGACCTTTCTGGGAGGATGCCATTGTGAAACTTCGCTCATTTACAGTCCCCGCATAACATATAGGATCCCAATCTGGCGATGACATCCCGGGGCGGGGGTACCACCCTAAGTAGCTATCAGACGTTTGGCAGGCATGCTGACATCTGTCAGGTACCCGAGATGTGGTACCTGTCAGCAGTGGCTCTTCTTCGCCTGGTTCGCCAGAGAAGGGTGGTCAGAAGAACCGCAGAGGTCCGTGATGCGTTTCAACCTGCTCTAATCTTTGGATGACATTTCATCTGGCCATGTGTTGCGCATGAGCTAGTGTGGGCTGAGCGCGGTGAGGGGGGACAGGTGAGGGCCAAGCGCCGCCGCTCACAATAGCATGCATGTTATCCTTGGCCGACAACAACGGGCATGACCGATGGGACTTTGAAGAGTGGCCTGGATCCTCACTGACGTCTGTAGCGGGGGAGGAGAGGGAATAAGTCGAGCGTGGAGTCACTGGTGCATGAACGTAGCCGACCGTAGATCTACACTGACCATCAGGTGCGTTTACGTCTATCCATCAATGAAAACAAACAGACCTTGGGCTTGGCCAACCAGTCGGTGAGAGCGTAGGATCTGGAGTGCAGCGGGAAATCTGATTCCCCCGCGGCAAAGGACACCCCCAGTCGTGCATGCGAGGCCAGTTAAGACGTGTTTATAGTATGAATGCAGCGCATATGTGCTACAACCTTCTCGAACAGGCAAGAATCGCTACGTAATTGGGATCAGACGAGCCACATTCGGAGTCCAGTTGCTCAGATATGACGCGAGGACCGAGATGTGTTAAGTGGCTTTTGGTGAGGTATTTCGTTGATTCCGATATTGAAGCCCAGAACCAAAGCTGAGTGCCTAGAAAGACGGGAGAAGGTGCGGTGGCTCTGGGGGGGGCTTGGCCTAGCCGGAAGGCGGCCTAGCCTGGGCAACTTCCACCAGCAGCTGCCGGCAAGCACGGAAGACCGGCGCGGGGGGAGAAAACGTGCATGGTGGCGTGGCGACATCTGGTGGGGAGAGGGCCTGAGCCTGAGGGATAATCAAGTCATTGATAATCGCCTTCGCGGAGGGTCTTCTGCGAACAGGCCGTCGGGTCGCTCGCTCACCAACTTTTAGGCGAGGTTGGAAAGGTCAACGTAGTTCAGAGATAACAGGTGCCCGCTATATCCAGGGAAGATGGTGGATGATTGGGCCGCAAAGGAGGACCTGGAGCTTGGAGCTGGGACAGTGGCGGGGATAGGGGACCTGGGAAAGGGTCGGTCCAGCAGTTGATCAGTGGGGGCTACAGCGCGTTGCAGAACCCAGATTCCCCACAGAGGCCACAGCCAGGCTCGGATGATACGGGCTTTGGCAGGTAGCTGGCGGTCTCGAATGGGGTCAGTTTGCCACAGGCGTCGCGAGAGGATTACCAAATGATGGTTCTGTTTCGGCCATGGCCGCACTGGATGTTACTCATCACACTGAGAAGTGCTTGAAGGGGTCCATTTGGCCGGTAATGAGATCTTCGGGCACGTGTTGTTACGGGGTCAGCGAGAGGCGCTGGAGCTACGGATGGGCTCAATTCCTCAGTACCTGACCTGACTCGAGAGGGCGCCCAGTGGTGCCTGTCAGCGGGCAGAGCGCCTGGGCTAGAGCCCCACCATACAGACTATTTGCGCCACCAATGACTTGCTGAAGCTCCCTAGCGATGGGGAGAGCAACGGCCAGCAGCAGTCCTGAGGCGTTTGTAATCCCACATCCAGGCAGTGGTATTCGCCTGTCATTGGGCAGTCACTCTTGCCGGTTACAGGCAGGGCCAGGCAGCCAGCCAGGGCGCTGAGGCAGCACGCAGGTACCTCGTCCGTAGCGGTTCGTCCAAACCTAAAGATTCGTCGGCGAGTCGTGTCGGTGAGCAGCCGGAATGCTGCAACTGTTGACATCCATCTGCAGAATGCAGGGAGCTGCTGACGCTGCATCTCGCATGTATGTATGTACTGGACAGGCATGTAAGTAACCTGTGTGCCTGCGCGCACCCTTTCCATCTCCCTCCCCAGACCGACCTGCAATAATTGCCATGAACTGCAACTGATACACTTCCAGCTTTGACCTCCGCCTCCCTGCTTCGCTGAGCATTTGCCTACCCAACCAGGCCGCATTGCTCGTTTACGATTATGCGTTTGCTTTGTTGAACCTTCCGTGCATGATCTTGGGCCTGCAGCTGTCATCTTGGCTCAAAATAGCTTTTTGATTCTTTTCTTTTTTATTCTGTTGTCGCCTCACACCTCACGCTCAGGTCAACCTGCTCCACTTACCTACCTACCTATCGATCTATCCCATTGTGCATTTGCTTTTGGGGATACTTCTCCATTGTTGCTTTTTTTGTCTGTTTCTCATTCTTCGTCAATTCCCGATCTCGACCGTTCGCGGCTTGATCCTGCCGTGCTTGTTGTCTCGCCACTGCCCGGACGCCAACACGCGCCCAGCCTGCCCCTTCTACGCTCTGCCGTAAAACGCGCGACCTAAGTACTAAAGAGAAGCTGCGAAACCCGCCATACACCGACTTTGATCTTCGCCTCCTTCTCGCTCTCGCTCTCTCTCTCTTTTTCCTCTGCTGCAATCTTCTGCTACCTTGACGTCCCATTTCCTTGTGACCCCAATTGTTGTGGGCTGCCAGGTCTTTGGTGTCGTCACGTTTTGCCGAAGGGTTGCTTCCAAGGCAGCTCCAAGTTCCCACCCGCGGCCAATATCTCCTCCCACGGCACGGGGCCGCCCGCCGCTACCACCCAACCAAACCACGACTCCATCCAGCATCGTCGAGGGTACCCTCCTCCTGCGTCTCGTCCCTGCTGGGTCAGGTGGCATCAAATCACATCACGCCTTCTCCACAACCCCGACAAGCGGGCTCATAGGTCTGTTCACGCAGCCTATTCCTGCCTCAACCTCGAGAATCCGCCCCCATATGACCCTCTCCATCCGTTAAAATGGAACCGGTTCCTGAGACGGAGCGTATGGAGGCCTTCAGGTCCTCGCCCGTACCGTCTTTGAGACTCGGCACTCCTATCGCGAGCCGCCTCGAGATCGTGGTTGACCAGAAGCCATCGAATCCACGCCGGAGCAGCGAACCGAGCCCGACCTCGCCTAGAACGCCCTCAGCCTGGGCACAAATGAGCTCGCTCCCATACCGTCCTCGAACCGCATCCCCGCTCTCCCATGGCCACACACGCTCTCGATCTGCCGCCAGCATCGCCCCTACCATGTCTCGAACCCAGTCGCTGCCGGGCCTGAATGGCTCTGGCCATATTCTCATACCTCAATTACGCCGTCCCGAAAGCCCGTCCCCCGCTTCCCCCAGTCGCATCAGGGTCCCTAGAAAACCTCTTGACGAATCCTTCCCGCCTCCATCCCCCGTACGATCGTCAGTCATTGATCCGGAGCGGCGGCACAGAGACCGGAGCAGTTCCCCAGGTCTTGGATTTCAACTCGGCAACAACGGTCGCATCCAGCGGCCATCTTCCCCCCTACGGAGCATGGGCAACCTGAGTTCGGGCTCTCTGTCACAGTTGCCCTCTACGCCGTCCTCGGTGGCTTCTTCGCCCTCATACAGGGCGTACGACTCATTCTCTGGCAGCTTATCTTCAGTCCCATCCACGCCAACATCTACGAGATCACGAAGCCCCAGCATTTCGAGCCTCGAAACTATCCCCGATACGCCTGACGCCGAGGAAGCTGCCCTGGAGGCCGAGCGAATTGCCCAGCTCAAGGCAGCTGCTGATGCTGCCGATAACAACGAATCCTCCGATTCCAAGGGCCGAAGCAGTCTCGATGTGCCTTCACGAGGGCGCACGATGAGCTTCGGGTCCAGGGACAAGCGCAAGCGCTGGAGTGTCTGCGGAGCCGAACGTAGGGGCGATTTGGATCTTGAGACTATCTGGGAGGACTAAAGGAAAGGCTTGATGGGCTTGGATGGATACCGGCTATCCCAGAACACCCACACAAACACATCACATGAGAGGATTAAGAACGGGTTGGTCATCTGAGGACATTCTACGGCGCATTGGTGATGTAACGCTGCAGCTGGCTTGGCAACATGGAGCAGTCAAAGCATGATGGGCCTGCTCTCTTCGACGGGCTTGGCGAGTTTCTCCATCATGGTTTATTCATGCCCTTTCTTGTTTGCTGGCTTGCTTGCTTGCTTGTTTTCTGTTTTTGCATGGTTCACCTTTTCCTCTCCACGATTTCACGTTGCCGTATGATGTTTTCATACACTGTTCACAATATTTCTCGATCGCTTCCAGGTTTGGTGGAGCGAAGGCGGCGTTTTTCAGCATTATCCCTCTTTAGATACCCTCTTTCGCAAGGCAGCAGCATATAATCAGGTCAAATTATAAGGGCGACTCAACCACAAATCAAATAGGATATTCTTACATTGACAGTCAGTCCATTGCCAATCTCGTTTCGTGAAGGGTCCTAAGAACAATTAATCCTTCCCGTCAAGGGATATACGATGATATTGATTTGCATCATCTTGTTCTCTATCCCTTGCTGTGGGGGAATACATGAGATAGCCTCCTCGAATAGGGAAAGGCACTCATCCCTCATCCCTCGTCACAATGTCTCTCTTTTCCCGTCACCTTCTACCCGTATTCAGGGCTTCAAAATGTATGTTTCAGACGTCCCTCGGGCCATCCCTAGCCGATTTCCTTTCGGCAGACTTCCCTCGCACTGGTAATCGTATCCATGAACGACGATATCCTTCTGATACCGTATTGCCCTCCACCGTCCATTGTGATATAAAAGTTGTCCTTGCTCGCCACAAAATGGAGGTTCATCATTCTCATCAGGCTCAATCGTGCATCTTCACCTCATCTAATTATCACAGCTACACTCTCCTTCTCCTCTTCAATTTTCCAGCGCTTTTCCAAATACTGCCCCATCAAGTATGCGCTTCTCACAGGTCATCTCATCCATAGCCATAGCGGCCTCAACCGCTGAGGCTGCTCCTCGTGGTTCCAGATTCTTCCGTGTAAGTTCTTTCTCTTGGAATAACTTCTCTCTTCGCTTGGATTCCCAGTTGACTGACACCAATTGGCCAGCAGTGGTATGGGAAGAATGCCGGCGCTCGCAGCGAGGATAGCAGCAGTCTAGAGTCTGAGCACCAAGTGCTAGAGCAACTTCGCCAAAACTTCCACCGAGCGATCAGACAGAATGGTACCTCCAACTCGACGGTAACATTGACCACGACAGAGACGCAGACTGCCACTCTAGAGCTGTCAGTTTCCGAGTTGACGAAACCAACTGCGCCGCCAGCTCAGGGGGGAGGGGCTCTGGTTTGCCCCAGTGGTACACTCTTTGTCTCGACAACCACAATCGACATTACGGTCTACGTCACTGCAACCCCAAGTGACGAGCCTACCGCATCTCTGACAGCCAGCAGAGAGGTCAACACAGACGTTGGCCAGAAGTTCGAGGCGACAGCTGTCACTTCGACTCTCACCGTCTCCCTTGCCCAGAACTCGCATACATCGGCCTCAGCTCCCTCCTCCGCAGGACAAGGAGCTGGCTTGGGTCAATCGACAGCGCCATCTGTCCCGACTTCAAGCTCTGCCTCGGTTCCATCCTCCTTCTCCGCTCCCTCTCCTTTCGCTCCCATGTCCAGCCAGAACATGTCCGCTCCTGCAGTTCAAACCCCGTCTGCGCAGATCTCTACACCAGAGCCTCTGGTTGCGACGACGACGCCAAAGGAAAATCAGACAAATTCCGCACCTACCAACACGTCCACCACGGAGTCAGCTACAAAGACTCCTGCCGCGGTTGAGACTCCTTTCTCATCCTCTGTTCTCATGGAGACACCCTCCTCTGTTGGAACCACGTCCGCATCCGCTGTTGTTGAGACGCCTTCTTCCGCCATTGAGACTCCTTCTGCCTCACTGGTTCAGACTCCTTCTTCATCCATTGAGGCTCCTTCATCCGTTGAGACTCCTTCATCCGTTGAGACTCCTTCATCCGTTGAGACTCCTTCAGCCATCGAGGCTCCTTCATCTGCCATTGAGTCTCCTTCTACCTCACCGGTCGAGACTCCTTCTACCTCAATGATTGAAACTCCTTCCATCTCGCCCATTGTGACACCCTCTTCCTCCCCGGATATTGAAACTCCTTCCTTGCCCATTGAAACTGGGACCGTGGAAACTACCTCTGCGTCACTTGGTTTTAAGACGCCTCTCGCTTCTGTTGTAACCCCCTCTTCTTCCTCTCTTGAGATACCTTGTCCTTCCCCCTCTCCCTCTGATGATGAAGTCTCCATTACCCCTTTCCCCGTTGAAACCTCATCGGAGCCCCTCGAGACTTCTTCTTCCCGCCCTACTCTTATCTGGACCCCTTACTCCATAGCGCCATCGCCTACTCCCGCTGAACGTGTTTCATTTACCTCTTCTGAGACTTCCGAGTTCCCTATTGCTACTTCATCCTCTGATGATGTCGATGCACCTGTACCAACTCGGAAGCCTGCGCCCCTCATTGATATCGACATCAATCTCCCCGAACCTTGCATCGACCTAGACATGGCTCCTGTCACCACCTCCAAGCTCACCGAGACGCCCACTTTCACTCTGCCGGCACCAGTCCAGACTGTCGGCGCAGGTGCCCAGACGCCGGGTGCTCCTGAGAAGAGCTCTACCTACTGCGGTGTCAACGGTGAGCCCGCTGGTGTCTACTTCCTGGCCGAGTTCATTGAGGAGAGATCCGGCGTTCCTGTCTCTCAAGAGGGATGCTACCAGTTCTGTAATGTAAGTATTGTTGTCCCCTTTGCATGAACCCATATTACCTTCTCCCTTTATCACCTTGCCTGGTGCGCACCGTCCGGACCCTTGTGTGACTAAAAGCTAACCACCCCTTTTGCAGAGCGTCATGGACTCGACCGAGGGCTGCCAGTCCTACCGCTTCTACCATAACAAGCTGGGCGCCCCTCGCTGCGAACTCTACGGCATGCCCGTCTCCTGGTCCGTCGACGACCTGGACCAGAACGTCGAGGGCAAGTGGTTCGACCTCTCCTGCGGCTCGCCCACCGTCAAGAAGTGGCAGTCGTCATGAGTTTCCCTTTTCACAACAAAAGGGGCACCAACCGCTCATACTTCTTGATAATTTTTCTTCTTTTTCTTCCTCTTCATAATCATAAATGAAAAACGACAAGAAACATAGGGGGGTTTTGAGCAACAGACAATAACCAACACAGCATATCATAATCCAGAAACGGCCTTCGACTAATAGAATAATGAGAGGCTTTAAGTGGGATGGGGATAATCGAGTACAAACGAAGAGCACAAAGGGCTTGGTATCATAATGTTTCCTTTTTTAAAAAATACTTATAATACAATTTGAAATCTATCGTTTACTGTTCAGCCTTTTACCAATTCTCGCAACATTTCGAAATGGGATAATGGCATTTTGAAAGATGTGACTTAGTATTACTCGCAGATAACCATCTCTCTCTAGGATTCCTAACCCATCATCACCATCTTGCGATATTGCCCCTGTATTCACCACGACTCCAACCCACCTGGAACTCCTCTGTATCCAACAAAATACCGTAACACGTCACATAACAACGGGCATAATCCTTATAAAAAAAATAGACCCCTCTCTTCTTATTTGCTTCTCTAGAGATGAGAATGACTAGATGGGGATGCCTGGTTCAACCCATCGCTCCCGGAGCGCCAGGGGGAGGCAGTCGATCCGGCCCAAAGGACATGGGCAGCAGCTGTGAAGGATCAGTAAGACTAATACCAAGCAGATGCAATTCAAGTAGAACATTGTAACAAGGGGCGAGGGCGGAAATGTAAAAGAAAACGGCTAGACCAACCTCTTCCATCGTCATCACCACAAAGTCCTTGTTCTTATCGAACATGAACACCGGAATGGACAGATTGACAAACTCCCGAATACTGCTCCCAGATCAGCATTACAAAAAAGACTTGTTAGAGTCAAGTCCCCGCCAAACTCACAATTGCCGGCACATGCCGCACGGGCTCGCCGGCGGGCTGATGTCCGTCGACACGGCCACGGCCCTGAACTCCCTGTGGCCCTGGGCGACGGCCGTGCCAAAGGCCACGCGCTCGGCGCAGGTCCCGACGGGGTAGCTCGCGTTCTCGACGTTGGCGCCGTCGACGTACGCGGGGCCGGGGATGAGCAGCGTCGCGCCCACGCGGAAGCGGCTGTAGGGGCAGTACGCCGTGGCCTTGGCCTCGGCCGAGCGGGCCTGGAGCTGGGCGAACTCGGCGGTGGTGATGCCGTGCTTCTGGCAGACCTCGGCGATCTTGGCTGGGTCGGTGCCCGAGAGGACCTGCTCGGGAGCCATGGTTGGTGTTGGCTTGGGTTGCGGGGAGGAGGAGAGGAGGAGGAGGGGGAGTGAGATGGATCTGGCTGTGGCTCAAAGTGGGATGTCTACGAAAGGGAACCGGCCTCTCTGCTCAGCCGTCACAGCTATCGAAATTACAGAACCGATGATCCAAGATGGAATGCGAACATCAATCAGTCCTCCTGGTATGTTTGTTGTCTGTGTCTTACATGCTACGTAACCTGCTGGAGCTTTCCCCACGGTGGAACCTTTTCTCTCCGCAGCGCCCGATAAGGGACTTTCTTAGTTCGCCTTGGTGCCGTCCCAAGACAGCAGCTAGTTGGACCTTATCTTACGATTGGGCTGTCACAGGCTCAGTCTTGGTGGTTACACGCGTAAATGTGTATGTATTGCTGTTCTGTATGCATATTACCGCGTCATTCAAGAGGTGTAGGTGTATATATGTTCGTTCTTCCCCAGGCCTTTTAGTCATAATAATAGGTTTCTTCCGGTCATCACCACCAACTCGGACCAAGCTGTGCCCAAGGCTAAAAAGGAAAAGGAAACTAAAAAGGAAAAGAAGACGAAAAAAGACGAGATTAGAACAGGATTCCTACAAGTAACAATTTCCCGCCAACGCCATGCTCAATCATTGATGATATCCTCCTGGTTGGGAAGCTTTCCCGACGACAGATATACATCAGAAAAGTGCCTGTTCTGGATAGAGACAGACACGAAAAAATAGTGGTGGTGGTTTAATTCATAGGGGAAAGGTAGGTAGGTTTGCAATAGAAAAAAAAAGAACAAAGAGGCTGAACCCAAGATGCGGAGAGTTATACTTTCCATCCGTATCCCACCTGAGTTCTACACCTCATGTTCCAGGAGGACAGGTCTCCAGGAGGAGAAGGAGCGCCGATGGATCTCGTTTTCTAATAGAACCCATCGCCTCCGAGGCTGCCTCTGCTTGATGCCGTCACAGGTGTAGACATGCTTGATTCGCTTGGGGTTGCTGGCTCAACAACCTGGTTGCGAATGGTGATGATCCACTCGTGCTGCAGCAGCTCTATAGCCGAGGCTCGAGTCTTGGGGTCCCTGGTGAAACACCGGCTCAGGAAGTCAATGCCGCACTCGCTGAGTTGGTCTGTGGATGGTAGCTGCGGAGGGTTTCCCTGGGCGATGCTGTACATGATCGCCCACTCATTATCCAGGTTGGCCCACGGTCGCCGACCCGTTACCATCTCCAGGATGACGCAGCCCAAAGACCAGATATCCACAGCGCCGGCTCTGCCAGGGTTCTCGCCCTTGATCACCTCCGGCGACATGTACATCGGTGTGCCCGTCATGGACTTGTTTGGCTTGGTCGCGTGCAGGTCTGCAGCCAGAGTACGTCCTTGTCGGGCGATGACTTTAGCTGCGCCGAAATCAACGTACTTGATGATACCATTATGGTCAAGCAAAATATCTAAATTGGAACATGTCAGCCGTATGCTCGTAGTTGTTGCTCTCACATGAGCTGGCACTTACTCTCTGGTTTGATGTCACGATGCGCAATGCCGCTCTCGTGGAGATATGCGAGGCCCTCAAGCAACTGCAAGGCATAGACCATGATTACTTGTTCGTCCTCGATACGGCCATGCTCTAGCAAAGTGGCCAATGATCCTCCGGAACAGAATTCCATAAAGATGTACACCCTATCCCGGTGTACTTCTATACCGTAATAGGAAACAACATTTGGGTGGTCCAGCACTTCCAACACACTCATCTCTTCTCGAATCTGCTCCGCAATGGTCGGGATCAGCTTTGGGTCCTGCAGCCGGATCTCCTTCACCGCCATCAGGTGACCCGAGTCCAGGTTCATGGCGGCATAGACTTGGCCAAAAGTGCCGCCACCCACAAAGTGGCCCTGCTGCCAACGCATTGTGATGTTGGTGGCGGAGGAGGACAGGTAGGCCAGAGAGCGGTCGGCCTCCGTGTTGGCTTCCAGGACGCGACCAAGAGCCTGCCTCTCTGCTTCCTTCTCTCGCCGGAATATGTCCAGCTTCTCCAGCTCCTCCAGGCGCTGCTGGGTGATGCAGATGGAAGCTTCCTCATCGTCCAACATCCTATTCTTGTCGACTTTTCGGAACTGGCCCACAAGAGCCTCGATTCGCTCCTTTTCCGCCTGTGCAGCAAGAGTCGACTTGGCTCCCATGATATCAAAGTGGGAGATGAGAAGAGACATGCAGCCTGCCACTTTGTTCCGAAGTTTATCGTACTCGCTTTCTCCCAGGGTGATGATCCGGCTGCCGCGCGTCATACCCATGGCAAACTCGAGAGCTAGCACTGCCCAGCGGAAAGTTTTACGGTCCGAGGCAATGCAGTCATCGCATATGAAGCTAATCCAGTCCAACGCCAGCTTTGTCAGTTTCAAATTGTTCATCTGTCGCCGGTTACTGTCCATGTAGAGCAGTGAACGTTGACCGAATTCAGTTGCAAATACAAAGCAAGTCTGGATGAGCTCCTGGCAGTCTTTTCCTTCTGTCTGCCTCCTGATTGTTTCTACACTGTCCATGAAGTTGTTGGACAGTTTATATGCCACTCGCCGAATCTCCATCAGGCGTGTGTTGACCTTGTGAATGTTTGGTCGGGACTCTTGCACCAAGTCAACGTGCATATCCACCGCATCGAGGAAGGTCCTGCGTGTATTCGGCAGTCCAGGTGATCCCGTAGCGCAGAGACGGGCATGCCCACGCTTCAGGTCGATGCTCAGTGGTTGTATACGTATCTTAATAGACTCCGCAAACCAATTGAACGTATCTTCCGGTCGTAGAAGTAGCAAGTACTGGTCACCTTCTTCGCCCACCAGACGTTCCTTAGATGTTATGGCCATTATGGCTTCGATGATCCCCGGCTTGTCATGCAACTCAGGAGAGGCGATGAGATAGATCCCCTCCTGCTCCAAAAACCCAGTCTCCACATGGAAGTGGCCCGTGGCTGCCAGCTGGTCATAGAACTTCCGCATGCGCTCTGGGCCAAACGAAATGTTGTAATCGGAGCAGTGCTCGTAATTATCGGTCAGCATCCTAGAAAACCGCTGCAACATCCGCTGCCGAATACGCACGGAATCCAAACAGGCCTTGTATCGCTTGCTCATTTCTGCCGGACTCTCTTTGGCCTTGACCTGCAGCTCGCTCTCAAAAGTCTGGCTCAGCCGGTTCAGGGCCTTGAACGTCAGCGAACTGAACTGCTCAGCCACGACGATGTGACCCCTTTGGAGATGACTTCCGATCTCATTTGCGAAATCCCACTCCTGGAATAAAAGTTCCGCCTCTTTGAATGTGTTTTTATTGCCACTCAACTTCCAGTTCAACATCTTGAAATAATATTTCAGAGCTTCGAGAACAACAGCGTCAAACGACTCATCAATGAATGGGGGGAGATCCCACCCAGGTTCTGGCTGGGCAATGGTCAAAAACTCCTCCTTGATCCGAATGGCAAATTTGAGGAGAAGCTGAAACTGCGATATCATCTGATCTTGCATCAGAGGGTTCTGCTGTGCCGTGTCCTTCACCTTCTTGGCATATGCGAGTCGCATCCGAATAATCTCCTCAATCAAGCGCGAAGGAAAGCTGATGAGCGTGAGAAGCTCTTCCAGATAGGGCGGCAGGTGGCGCTTGCGGAATGTTGTCGAGTTGTGAATGAGGGTTTCCTTTGCCTTGCAGATGATAGCTGCAATCGGCTTCAGCATTCCCTGTTGTGTGGAGTTCTTCTCGTCATTGTACAGCGAGCGCAGCCCATCTTCCTTCATAAGGCGGTCGAGAAACGAAGTCTCGTCAGTGCTGATCCCATTGACAGCTGGAGACCGCTGCTTAGTGCGAGTAAAGTCCATGTCATTGTTCCCAACCCATCTCTTCAGAATCTTGAGCTCCGTGTTGATCATCTCATTGGTGTTGTACCAAGAAACAATCGCATCGTATGCCTCGTGGAAAGCGCTGGATCTAGCAGTTTTGTGCTCTGTAGCAAGTGATTCCCATGAGGGGTAGAGTCCCTCGCATTTCTCGATCTTCTTGACGACTTCCTTCACTTGCTCATACGGAGGCTTGCCCACTTCACTCTCACCCTTGACTTCGAAGTTGACGATTTCGTCCAGCGTGCGGTCCAACGTCGATCGCGCCTCCTCTACCATGCGTCTCTGCACTGGGAGATGGCGCCCGCAGACCTTGGCGCGGATGCCAAGCCACATCTCCGACTTGTGTGCGTTCTTTCCAATTTGCTGATCAGAGGAGCCGATTAGGCGCTTCTTCTCTTGTCGTACCACGTCCCCAGTGAGAACGGCCTCCAGCATGCCATGCCACTCCAACCTCTCTCGGTTCTGCGAGTCCTCCAAATCTTCCTCGGTCGGCTGGAGATCGTCATTGCCGTAAAACATGATGGTTTCCTGATCATCAAATCGTTCGTCAAATGGACCCTCGGACGACGGAGTCTCCCCTTCAGAGTCTGAGTCGTTGCCGTTAATGGCCGGGTACGTGGTAAAGTACTCCCCAGCATAGTCTTGCCGAAGCTTCTGCACATATGCGCGCTCCTGCGCGCGGAATCGACTCTCCGCCGGTCTCGGCCTCGTTTTGGAGGATGATCGAACCGAGTCAACAAATTCCGGCGGCGGCTGTGCCACCACGGGCTTCCGCGAGGTAGCTGGGTTGTACGTATTTGAGGGCGTCCGCATCGGGCCGAGGGGACGTTGGGGTCGGGTGCCGTTGGCGCCGGAGGGAGCATCGCTGTCGCCATTGCTCCTTTGGCTGCGGGTTATACCGTTGGCTACAGTCTTGGCGATCGTTCCCGCAAGAGACCCTTGGTTCACGGCGGAGTCCGGGTACGGGCTGAGGGATCCAAGCCCGTCCTGGCCCTCGTGTGTAACCCGAGCCTCGTCGCCATTCTCCTCATGGTCTTCGGCTGGGCTTGTGGGGTCGGTGTGATCAAGATCGTCCTCGTCGCCGGAGAAGCGTACAGTCCTAGGTGAAGTTTCGGTCATTGTAGGAGCGGGC